GATTGGTGGGAATTTGATTGCGGTTGCGACTATTGGGATGCTACACTGCTTACGTACCCTTAATGGGATCAAACCGGTGTAGTTCCAAAATTTGAAAATTAATGGGTAAGTGTGGCCCACTAATTAAGAATTTGTGTCTTTGGGACAATTTGGAGATTCTCATAGGTAGATGACCTATGGGAAAAATTGGAAATTAATGGGTAAGTGTGGCCCACTAATTGAGAATTTGTATTTGAGAGATTTGAATTTAATCTCATTAGAATTTTCATGGGTAGTTGACCCATGAATAAAATTGGATATTAATGGGTAAGTGTGGCCCACTAATTGAGAATTTGTGTTTAAGAGATTTGAATATAATCTCATGAAATTTGCATGGGTAGATGACGCATGAGAAAAATTGGATGGTGTTGTACCATTTTTCTTCTTGTCAATGTCCAAGAAAAATAATGAGCAATTTTGATGAACCCACTAATTTTCTACGATTGACATTTGCATTTGGGAAAGTGTTTGGACGAATTTTTTTGTTTCAATAGGAATCCCTGTATCCAAATGAAGCCTTAAACTCATACCTTTGTTGATGGCTTGTGCCTATGCTGAGGTTATGCCTCTTTTGACATCTTGTATATCTTTAGTGTGGTTATCTTGAGTTCATGCATTTGCTGATGACTGGTACTTCTAATAAGATTATCTTGAGTTCATACCTCTAATGACGGGTTTTACCACTCTTGAGGGCTTATGTTTCTTACCTCGACGGAAGGATGTAGTTTACGCCTCTATTGAGGGCTTCCTCGACTAAAGTTTTTGATTTATGCCTCTACTTAGGTCTTTATGTATTTACACTAGATATTTACACTAGAGAAGTTATTGAAGCCCTGAATGAAAGTAAGGTTTCAAAAGAGAGCTATGTACTTTCCTATGATAAAAGTAAAATTTAGTACAAGGGTGTCAGATATATATATATATATATATATATCAGTCCTCTTTTATTAAGGGATCCCTCAAATAATTTTATTTGAGGGACGCCCTTTAGGGTATCTTACAATTTTTTTTCCAATGATCCAAACTATCTATTTTTTAGGTCTTTATTCATAGATCATCCTTACAAAAAATTAGACAAATCGGAAACCGTTTTAATATCCAATTGTGTCCTACAAAATCAATGAACACGATGCTTCAAGTAAGTACTAAAATTTCAATAACTCAATTGAATGGTCAAATGATGTCGGATTCAAGTGATTTTTTTGTAGAGATGATCTTTGAATGAGTATCTACAAAATAGATGGTTTGGATTAGTAAAATACAATCTGAAGTGGACCATACAAAGGGTGTCTCTCAAATAAGCTTATTAACTATATCTTAATATGTAGCATCCCAACGTTGAAATTCCAAGACTCATTTTGAATAGTGGTCTAGTTTCAGAATGTGAACAGATCTAGTTTCCAAAATATTATATCTCCCATATAGAAAATTAAGAACCATAATACACGTTGGATAAATATAATGAAAGACTCAGAGTCAGAATAATAAGATTAAATAAATTAAAATAATTAAAAATTGGTTGAGAAATTAGAAAATTATGTCTACAACTTGCGTAGGTCACTCAATTCATGAGCCTTTAGATGATATGCTTGAATGTAATAAGGTATATTTAAATATATAAAAAATCAGATGTGATAGGGGTGGTTTGTGCTTCCAATTTTTAGAGATAGAAGGGTCCCTCTATTTTTCTTTGTTTTCTTATAATTTTCCTTCACCCATCACATGCGGTTGCATCTCGATGTCGGATCTCCACTTGCATTTTAGCATAAGATCTTCACCACTATCCTTTTTGCTGTTTCTTTATGTTTGGAATAAGTCGCATAAACTCTTTTGGTTCTTTGTGTAGTTTTCACCTCACCTTTCGTGAGAGTTTTCCACTTCTCCTTGTAAGCTTATAGTTATGGATATTATTATTATTATGAGTTTGTAATCTTAGTTGCGATGGCTACGCCATAGTATCTTCAATCATGTGTGATCGTTATTGGAGGCACACTAGTTGTCTTAATTTTGATGTTAGATCGCTCCTTATTGTAATGACCCTTTGTGGCTAGTAACTTTTTTGGCTAAATTATGAATGCAATCCCATAATTTCTATATATATATATATATATATATTTATATTTATATAACAACATGCATAATTCAAGAAAGACTCAGACATATAAAAGAATTTGTTGGAGAAATTTAAAGACAAGATAACTACATGAGCATCCTTAACATTCTTGAGTTTTAGCATTTCGTCAAAATAAAGAGAAACGCAACAAATAAAATTCATAAGGTTTCATTGAATATGATTATTCATATCCACTCAATTGAAAGTGCACACAAATAAAATTCTAAGAAAAACTCAAATTCAAATTGGTTTATTTATGGATATGCCCTTAGTGCTTTTGAATAGTCTCATATTACCACATGTTCTTTGAAATGTCTCAATATATCACCTATACTTTCAATAAGTGTCTCACGTTAGCTATTCCGTCAGATTTGAGAGAAGTTCCATTAGTTGATGTGGCCCTTACTTCTTTTCAATCTCTTAACAAGGGAGATGAAGGATTAGTCAGCTTGAGAAAATGAGGAATTTGGGAGAAGAATGTTAGGTTGAGGGAATTTCAGATTTGGGAGAAAAGGGGGAATTTGATTTTGGGATTTCAGATTTGGGAGATCCCCACAACATTCAAACCATCCTTCGTCTCCCAAATCTGAAATCCCCAAATCAAATTCCCCATTTTCTCCCAAATCCCTAATTTTCTTCCAAATATGAACCTCCAAATTCCCAAATCTGAAATTCCCTCAACCAAACATTCTTCTCCCAAATTCCTCATTTTTTCAAGCTGACTAACCCTTCCTCTCCCTTATTAAGAGATTGAAAGAAGTGGGTGCCACATCAACTAACGGAACTTCTCTCAAATTTGACAGAATAGCTAACATGAGACACTTATTAAAAGTATAGGTGGTATATTGAGACATTTCAAAAAACATGTGGTAATCTAAGACTATTTTGAAAGCACACGAGGCATATCCATAAATAAGTCATTCAAATTTACCTCTTGGAAAATAATTACTAAAACAAAACAACTTCCACAACAACCAAAAACTTTGGAAGGCAGCTAAGGAGCCTTGCTAGGCTTATGTGTGAAGCATCAATACGTAATAAAGAATAGTAAATATCTTTATTTCCCAACTTGGGATTTCTCTTGAAACTCTAACACCAATTAATATGCATATAAAATTATATATGAGCGACCCTTGGTTGATGATTACGTGGGCCGTTGGATACTGTTTGTAATCAGTTTTGGTAAATGGACTAAAAATGGTCTAAAGGGTTAAGAGAATATTTTAAAGATAAAGCCAGACTTATTAACGTTTGTCTTTTCTTAAAGGGTCATCCTTTTCCTAATAGGCCTTTTTGAATAAATCAATAAGAAGGCCCAAATTGTAAAAAATCAGACCCTTATTTAGCACTACAGGTTAAAAAATCGATAAATGTGTTTTCTAGGCCCACGTGGGAGGCTGAAGGTGATTATCACATTTAATGACGACTTGACCTCCTTCTCTCCCAGTAAGAAAACAAGTCGTACAGAGGCTACCAAAACCAGAGAAGGGTCAAATTGCTAGACAGGTCTTCAAGTACAAAGGAGTCAAATCAAGAGAGCTTCACAAGGAAAATTGACGGTTCCTGCTAGAAGCCTTCCATCATTCTCTCTATGAATCGGTTAAGATCAGCAAACCAGCAGCTGACCTTGAATCACAAGCCAAAGGTCTTGTCTCAGTTTCCATCATTACAGGCTCTTTCCGCCTTTATAAATAAAGAAGGTCTACTTCAGAAGAAGAGGACTCTCTCTCCAAAATCAGATGCAACGTCTCAAAAAACACTCAAAAATTCTTAGAATAGCAATCTGTCTACTTCCTTTAGATAACTAGTTGACAACTCTTGCGTTTATCTTTTGTTGCTCTGGCATATTCGTGGTATGATTTTCCTTTAAAAGTAATCTATTTCAATTCTTGTAATCACTTAACTAGATTGAGAAATCTGCAGTCTCTCTTTCCTTACTTTGTAATTCAGATTTAAAGATAATTGATGGATTAATTGAAGAAGGTTCTGTCATTTAGTTTACGCTCAGATTAAATATAAGTTGCAGAAAAATCATTTTAAATAAGTCTACTTAATTACTTAAAAATGAATTATGGACTGTTTTAGTACATAAAATCGAATTCCCGCCTCCCTTCCTTTATAAATGTCCAAAAGAACCAGTGTTCAGGCCCGAAAAGGAATAGGGGCCCGAATGAAACAGTAACAACAGGAGGGATAGGAAGTTGAGTTGGGCCCGAATTATACCACTGGGCCCAAATATCTATTAATCCAACTTGAGGAAGATAAAAATATTGAAATTGGTTGATAAAACCCGGATAGGGTCTTACTAACCACGAACTTGGTCTCTCTCTCTCTCTCTCTCTTACTTGTTCAGGTATCGCTCATACTTGTCAGGTTGACACTCGCGAAGGAAAGAATATTGAAGTCCTCTTAACTGAGGCATAGAAAAGAATCAATCCAGGCCATATACCCAATAGTGGCACGCCTACGCAACACTACGAATCAAAATTGAGAAAAGTTGACAGATAGGGCCTGCTCGCTTTTGGCAAATTGATTCAACTTTCAATTTTGTTCAGAAATTGAAGAAGTCTTCTCCGCGAGCCAAGAAACACCATCCGATCGGGGCATTGACGTTGATCCAACGAACCTCTCCTTTCCTCCAAGCAGAGCTGACCCCCGCGGGCTGCGAGAGGGAACGGCGGACGAAAAAAAGGACCAACAGATACAAGAGACGGTAAACACATCATTTCCCCGCCCACGATTTGTTTGGATTTCTTCTTGGACATATTCATCCAATCTGTAGCTAGCTTAGATTCAGAGTGCTCAAGAGAGAAATAGAGAATTGAATTATAAAAAAATCAGTAGAGAGATGGCGTACAACCTATTATGCAACCCCAACGAAAGCTCGACTTTTAAAGGGATGTCGGAGTTCGAGTGCCAGGCAATAGAAAGAAAAGACAAGGAAAAAGTGGCTCTGCAGATGAAAAACATCGGAGAGAAGGACCTCAAAGCCCTTACTTTTGTGGAGAATTTTAAGAAGCATCATGGTGATGGAATCTCCACACTTTGCCTTGTTTACAATGCAACTGGGGACACCGTAACATAATCTATAAGTAAGGATTGGTGTGGGCACATTGGACACTCCCCTTACCTAGCACTCATCGCAAATGGGCAGCAGGGTGCCTTTCTGCATGTCCAAAGCGTTGGAAAAGCATCTGCCAGCAACGTTGTGTACAACGGCAAGGCCAAGGATGGTGAGGACCGGGAATGGATGCTGACGTGGAGCAACAATAGGTTTCCGGTAAAAACTCGGTATGTTATTTTTGGTTCAGATTTTCTCAGTGGAGTAAATGTACTACACTTAGTTTGCTACTTCCAAAAATATTTCAAAACCATTCAGATCATTGGCGCGGAAGCATTTACTATTTCAAAAACAATCTCTTCTTGTGCAGGTTCATACTGAGAATCGACCAGCTGAACACTATGTGAGTAATGTTGGTTGGATCCCCATAATCTATGATGGTTTGAATTAATATCGCATCTACAAGAATTGAAATTTTTGAAATCCGTAGGTGGTAAGGTTCAGAGTGCACAAACCCAGCTACAAATCATGCAAGGCTACTTGAAAGATGCAGAAACAAGACAGGGACGCGATCAAGCAATACTCGTTTGGGTGGCATGACAGGACCAGCTCCGAATTTCCCGAAACCTGAGACGAATGCCGCGGAGACCCCGGCATCACACCCACGCCGAGTTCACTCCTTAAAACTATGTCCTCTTTTACCAAAGAGGATTAAGGGCACGAGACTTTCTGCCGAGATTTCGGCAGAGTCTCCCATGTAAATTGAACGTTTCTCCAAGATTTTCACCTGCATAAAACACATTTTATAACCCAACCGGCAGCACGCACAATATAATCTCATGCAATTTACATAAATGGCCTCCGGTCTTCAAATGATTCTAGCAGAACTGCCCACAATATTTTTAAAACAACTTAATGCATCAAACATGCATATAACAAATTCAAAATTTATTTATGCACACCTTCACTCACTTAGTCCACAGGACAAGCCTCAATTCAACCAAGTTCCAGAATTAGCCTCACAACACAACCTAAGTGAGGTTTAACCCGTGGCTGCACCTAGTAATTTCAGGCTGCCTACGTACCATTTCTAAGGGATCAAGCCACACGTAGTTCTTTCGCATCAATCCTGGCTTCTAATATCAAATAAATCATTATAGCCATACAAATTTAGACATTCTAGGATTTATCCATCACAACTCACTCAACATAATCACAATATCACCCCTCATACGACGGGACACACCCGGCCTCGTATGGGGGCTGTCAATACGCCGGCTACTCTTACGACACGTGCGACCTCAACACAATCACAATATCACCCCTCATACAACGGGACGCACCCGACCTCGTATGGGGTCTGTCAATACACCGGCTACTCCTACGGCACGTGCGACCTCAACACAATATCAATATCACCCCTCATACGACAGGACGCCCCCGGCCTCGGATGGGGTCTGTCAACACGTCGCCTACTCCTACGACACGTGCGACCGCAACATAATCACAATATCCCCCCTCATACGACGGGACGCACCCGGCCTCATATACGGTCTGTCAACACGCCGGCTGCTCCTACGACACGTGCGACCTCAACTTTGGGCCCGGCTACATTCTCACCAGCCTGCACACAATCATATCTCCCATCATACGTCGGGACGCATCTGGCCACGTATGGGGTCTGTCAATACGCCGGCTACTCTTACGACACGTGCGACCTCAACACAATATCAATATCACCCCTCATACGACGGGACACACCCGGCCTCGTATGGGGTCTGTCAATACGCCGGCTACTCCTACGACACGTGCGACCTCAACACAATATCAATATCACCCCTCATACGACGGGACGCACCCGGCCTCGTATGGGGTTTGTCAACACACCGACTACTCCTACGACACGTGCGACCTCAACTTTGGGCCTGACTATATTCTCACCAGTCCGCACACAATCATATCTCCCCTCATACGACGGGACGCACCCGGCCTCGTATGGGGTCTGTCAATACGCCGGCTACTCTTACGACACGTGCGACCTCAACTTTGGGCCTGACTATATTCTCACCAGTCCGCACACAATCATATCTCCCCTCATATGTCGGGACGCACCTGGCCACGTATGAGGTCTGTCAATATTCGGGGAGGTACATAGGGTAGTGCGTATAGCACTCCAAACTAACATTCTATACTCTTTAATACCTTCGTATACATACATAATTACATTCATCACATATAATCCTTTATTTCGTAAATCTCAACCCTGGTATAGCATCTGATAATTCCGCAATTTAAATCAATGAATTAATATCCTAAATTCACATAATCCACATCATCAAACAAAACCTGTCACTACGGTCATATTAACCTTCCCAGGATGGTATCACTACCTAGGAATTCTCACAGTCAACCCCGGGTCGAACTACCCAACCTTGGTCAAACAGGCCCGCGGGCCCATGACCTCCAAATTCCAATTCGACAGTTTCTATGAATGCTACATGGTTTAGGACACTCGTCCTGCAAGTTTGATCCAGATCGGGCGGTTGGATCATTCACGATCGCACGATCGGATAGTTACTAAAACCCTAACCCTAGGGTTGGCATTTCCGGAGTATCCGAGACTCCATTTTGCGATCCGTCGAATCCTACACGATTCTAAGGATTTCTAAATTAACATAGTATAACTTGGAGTCAATCCAACGGTCCGAATCTATCGAACCTAGATAACGCATAATAGGCAATATCTGTTTGAGACTCAAACTACGTCCAAATCGAGATCCGCGAAATCCTACGCACTCGTGACAACCTGAGGATCACATTGAGATAAAAATGCCCCTCAGCTACAGTGCCCATGCGCCACCACACGCGCCGGCAGCGCGTGGGTGTCCAAAGCGATATCGCATCGCCGGAAAACTTCCAAATCGAGAGCCAAGACTCCTACCCTAGGTAATACACCTAATTTGGAGTCAATTTTGTTCTTGGGCATACCCCAAAACTGACCGGAAGTGGTCGGAATCTCCCCCTCGAAATCCAGCCGAAACCCAATTCGTAAATCGAGTTACCTACGCTACAAAATGATCAATTCCTACCCAACAGGCAGCTAGAGCTCGGAAAATAGGTGAGAAACCATACCTCACTTGTCGGAATCGGTGGCCGGACGACGAAGAACGAAGCCGGCGAAGTTTCTGTCAAAATCGGAGCTTTTCTCCCCGTTTTCCGGTGAAATCACGGCGGCTGGCGGCGGGACCTGGCTGGGGTAAGAAGAGGACGGTGCCCGGTCATTTTGGTACCAGCCACGTCGACTTTGGTGGCCGGATGAACGAACGGCCAGCCAAAACATGGTCGGCTGTGGTGGCGGTCGCGAACCAGAGGAGAGAGAGAGGGACGCGCGGGAGAGAGAGAAAGAGAGAGAGAGAGAGAGAGAGAGAGAGAGAGAGAGAGAGCTGAGGGCTTTTCTGTCTTTTAACCAAAAATCCATTTCAAAATATTTACGATTTTGCCACTGGTGATGTTTTGCCCGTAACTTCTTCGTTACAGCTCTGATTTAAGCCCACTACATCTCTATGGACTCATCTCGCCGTGCTCTATGCAACAGTATAGTCAAAATTCCCAAATTCCTTCCGGATAAGAAATAACCAAATTACCCCTACCTCAAGGGCAATTTCGTAATTTCACTTAAATAAATTAAAATGGGCAATAAATTTGGAGTCGGGGTGTTACATGGCAAGAGTCAGAGATGCTGCTTATGATCTTGAGGATGTCATTGAAACTTATGTCTTAAAAGTGGCTTTCAAGAGGAAACCAAATGTTTTGACATGGTTTACTGGCATCTTCAGAAAATGAGTTAATCTTCATCGGATTGGCTCAGACATTGAGAAAATTACAACTGAAATTTCACAGCTGAGTTTGATTATGCCAGGTTTAAACCTACACCCAACAAGGGAGAGTGGAGGTGACACTTTTTTTCAGAGGCAACAGGAACGGAGGATAGCTTATCCTCATATTGTCGACCCTCATGTGGTTGGGTTAGCCTATGGAATAGAGATATTGGCTACATATTTGATCAAAGAAAAAGGTCCTCGAGTTGTTTCTATTTGCGGGATGGGCGGGTTGGGTAAAACTACTCTTGCAAAACAAGTTTATCATCATGGTGAAGTTAAGCGTCATTTCGATTATTTTGCCTGGCTGTGTATCTCTCAACAATGCCAAGCACGGGAAGTTTTGGAAGAAATTCTGACTAAACTCATTTCTCCTACCAATGAGCAAAGACAAGAAATTGCAAAATTGAAGATTGATCAATTAGCAGAGAGGCTTTGGTGGTGCTTGATGACATTTGGACCAGTGTTGCTTGGAGCTCTTTGCAAGCTGGGTTTCCAATGAATGAGGAAACTAAGAGCCGCATTTTACTCACTACTCGCAACAAAGAAGTCGCTTCGTGTGCAGACAAAAATAGTTTTCTCTTCGAACCACAGTCGTTGAATGATGATGAAAGCTGGGAACTGTTTGAGAAGATAGCAATGTTTGGAACAGAAGATACAAGTACGTTCTCACACAAACCTTTTATCTCTACTTTTCATGTTTATCAATTCAACGTGTAACTTTTTTTTTTTTGTCACTCTAAAAAAATTCTACATGAAGGTAGTAGTTTTATTATCACAATATTTATATTCATAAAATATACTCAAATCAAAACCTATACTTTAGAAATTACTTTTCTTCAATAGAAAGAACATGTACCTAACAACAAATCTCTCACTTAATATCCAAATAAATCAGGGCACATAACGGACCAACACAAATCAAAGTTGTAGCCCAAAGAAAAATCAGAAACTTAGGGGATAATTTGTTTTCGTCAATTGAACACATGTATCTGATCTTAATATTGTTTTTTAGATCCTAGAATTTATGAGCAAAAGAAAGAACTAGGAATGAAAATGCTTCAACATTGTAAAGGTTTACCACTTGCCATCACAGTTCTTACAGGACTTATAGCTAGAAAAGAAACAATTGATGAGTGGGATATGGTGCATAATAATGTTAGTGAATGTATAAGGAGAGGCACAGACCTTGGGCCTGATTACAAAGATGAAGGATATGAAGGTGTATCATGATTATTGGAATTGAGTTACGATAACTTACCATATTCCTTAAACCTATGCTTTCTCTAATTAGCCCATTTTCCAGAAGATTATGAAATTCCGGTGAGTACTTTGACTAAACTATGGATGGCAGAAGGTTTTATATCATCGGCATCAGCAAAAGAAATGGAAGATGTATCATACAGGTGCTTAAGTGAGTTAGTAGGCAGGTGCATGGTTCAAGTTGGAAAATATGGTTCGAGTAAGAAAATCAAGACTTGTCATCTCCATGATCTTATGCGCGACTTATGCATGTTAAAGGTGTTTGTGCCTAATAAATCACGGTCATAAACTGATTGAAGGGACTTCCTCT